GAATTTTCTTGATTTTTAATATTTTATCGATATGCTCGATCAACACTATTTTTGAAGCTTTAAATTTTTACAAGTATAGATAAAAATATATTTTAAGTCTATCACAAAGTTTTTTAGCACTCAAATTACTTGACACTATTAGAAGAAGGTGCTTTAATTCGATTGTTTAGAGTAGCTCTGTACAAACCACACCCTTTAGGATTTTCCCTCTTAAAAAACAAGATAGGGCATGTAATTTGGCAGGGACAGTAGGGGGTGGCCGTTCGTATTATCTTGAGGGTTAATGGATTAAATTTTTAAACAAGGGCCTGCGGATCACTTCCCGGCCTGTAAATTTACGACTCTCTCTGTCTTTTTTTCTTTATCAGATGCACAACCCCCATTTCTGAAGCCACCCTCCTCTCTCTCTCAATCTCCCGATGGTCCTTGAATGGATCATATCGAAGTTTATAGTAATGGAAAGTCTGAGACTCAAAATTTGACATTGATCAGGAAATCATTATCATTTCAGAGCACTTAGAGAAAAATACGTATATATATAGCCCTCATGGAGGATGGAACTTCGATCAGGAGGAGACTTAATACGCAGAAAGAGGTATGCTTCGTGGGTTTCGGTCTTATTTAATTTCAGTTTAAATTCGGTTGTGCTCATCAAATTTCCCTAAAATTTGCCAAAATTCCATACACCTTTGTTTCCCCCTTGATTTGGACTGAAAGTTCCCCCAAAATTGGCAGAATTTGTTTAAGTTTGTTCTAAATTGGCCTAGATTTACCTGAAATTGGAGTGGGAGTATTCCTAGAAAATTTTAGGGAATTTTGATTTTAGAATCCGAAAACTCTTGCCAGTACGATCTTTTTGTGCTTTAACGTGCATAACTTTTTTTTTTCCTTATTTTTCCCAGATTTGGCTCACCATTGAACCAACATTATAATGCTGGGTCCATGTTTGTTAGTGATTTCCTTTCTTTCATTGGCTGTCTTTGCGTGGTTCTGAATGTTATTATGCATGCAATCTTCGTCATTTTTTGTTGTGCATCTAATTTGGATTTTCTATCCGATTTCTTTTGAATTTCATCATCTATTAGTTCCCCTAATCAGTTAAGAAATAGCAAGTTTTATGCTTCTGAAGGTTAATTACCTTTGGAATCTAACTGTTAACTTTGAATCTATTTTCATTTTCCTCTTTTCATTTTCTTTTGTTAATTGTTTTTTCTGTCCAAAAAAAATTCGTTTTTAGGTCCTAAAGTGGCTTGAAGATTTCTCTGAAAAGCTCCAAAAGAGGGCACATGATGCCTCGTGTGAAGTACATAGGCTATTGGAGCAGGCCACAGTTGCGGAGCAAGAACTGAAGGCAGCCTTTAATTCTTTTCGAAGTCTGTCAAATGTGCAATTTATTGAGAATGTAAGCGTCAATTATGGTCAAAGAGTCTTAGTCAATGTTATCGAATTGTCTTCATGTCAAAATTTGCCTCAAGATCCATTAGTTTCAGTGCCATTTTACCTTCCTTGTAAAATTATTTTACAACTTGGTTGAATTTATTTTCCTTGGATTCATGTTATCTTTTCCGTATGGGCGTAGACGATGCAAGAAGAAGATGAGATAACTTCCCATAGATCAAAAGCCCCTCAATCTTCAACTGAAGCCAGCATTCGTGCTCAGAGTTATGAAGCAGACATAATGCCAAGATATAAAGAGGCTCTGTCCCTTGGCTTGAGTTCCTACAAGCAGCATTTGCAGAGCCGAAAATCTTCAGCAGCCTCTGTTTATAAAGTAAGGATTTTGAATGTTAGCATGCAAAATTTATAACAAGTTGTTAGTTTTTATTCTAGTTGTATGCTTGTTTAATGTGATGCTGATGATCATATCTAACTGTTAATAAAGCAGATGAACAACAAGATAAGATACAGGATAAGATATTATTACTTCTTTATGAACTAATAATATACAGGATAAGATATATTTTAACTATAAGGAGCTATTATAAACAAGCAAGAATGAGCATTGTGATATTATCATTGGAAAGACAGATTTTCTATGGACAGGGTTGTAAGTTTCTACAGCGTCGATGGATCCCCCAAAAGCCATCCATTTGTTGGACAGTAGCACTTATTCAAATTACGACTCTGGACCGTCCATTTGTTGGTGGATGATTTACTTTTTTAAGAGCTCAAAATCAAAATCATTTCATTTTATATTAATTTTTGGAATTGATCAAAAGGTCAATCGAGAGATTTTTGCAAAATTTCAGGTCCTATAATTCCTCCTAACATGGTTTGTGGAGGGTAGGTCAATGCTGCAGAAATGGACAGCCCCATTCATAGGGCAGCTTTTCCTTATTGAAATTGCAACCTGTAAACTCAAATAAAACTTTTTGCCAAGACTATTTGCATTGCATTTTGAGACGAAGTCAGTAATCCTCTGTAGCAGACTGAATTGCTTAATTCCAAACATAGCTTAGGTGTGCGAGATCGGTTTGCTGATGATTCATACTTCGCCAGCACTTCTAGAACAAAAAGAAGAAAAAATATGGAAGTGGTCAGTGGCTGCTTGTAAATGTGTTCCTTAATTATTTTTTATAGAAGGATGTATAGTAGCTATGGGATCATTTGGAATCTATTGAAGCCTTACTGCGCTCTGTTGGTCTTATTCATTCATTGTACTTCTCAAGCCAGTAATAAAGCTCTCCACCATTACCCCCCTTAATCATTCTTTATGCTGGTCACTCGAGGAAGCTGGACAATGTTTTGCTGCAAAATACTCTTGTGACAAATAATTTGGTATGCTGCTTTTGCTGCAAAAGAATATTGTGGCACAAATTTTGGTATGCTGTCTAATGAGTATAACCGGTATATCGAATGTGTTAAAGTAATACTATCTCTTTATTTGACTTTTCTTGGTATGAGTACCTTAGTAGATGAGATTCATGCTTTAAAGTTCACATGTATACAATGGGAGTAGATGAAATTTATTCCCTTGCGACCTTCCCTTTGAGAGAGTTTGTTTGCAATTTATCTATTCCTCACCACTTTCAAAATCCTGTGCAGTGACATGTAAATGAAATGAGCATTTGCTAGTGTGGACTATATGAGAGCGATTCATTCACTCAATGATAACATGGTTCTCTTGCATTGATCTTTTTCATGCCCCAACCAAGGTTAAAAAAACGGTTCGGGCGCCTAGACGGTTTGGGTGCCTAGCCGCCTAGGCGGGTGCTCAGGGAGCTCTCAATATATATATATAAATGTGTATGTATGTATATATATGTATATATATGGGGCGGAGCCACTCGACCTTATGAAGGGAGAGGGTTTGTCGAGAGTCTTTCCCCCTCTCCCGGTGATTCTTGCCCGTGCTAGTTCCACCTTCTCTCCATCCCACCTCTACATGAATAGCTTGAACCCTCGGGTCGGGTCCCCCACCCCAAACATAAAAAATAGGGGAGTTCTTAGAGCTGGTTTGTAGCCTTAGGGAGTTGTTAGGGCAATTTTAAAGCCCCAAACTCCTCATGATCATGAAATTGACAAAAAAAATCAATAAAAGAATATGATATATGCCCAATTTCATCGTCCAAGTCAGAAAAAATCAATAAATCACCAAAAAAATCAATCTTTTAACTACAAACATATAAATATACTGTAAAAGAAAAAAAAAGTAAAAAAAAAAACACATGATTCATAACATAATGTGTTGTAGCAAAATAAAATGAAAACCCTCTTTCAAATATGATAATACTTAAAAAAATATCAAAATCAAATCGGTATTGATGCAAACCTCGTCTATTGGGTTGTTTTAGGAACTATTGTCTTTGTTTTAGGAACAAATCGGAAAAATATAAAATTTGTCGATCTTTCAATAAATCACAAAATAGTGGTTTTTGAGGTTTTCTCACCCTAAAGGCCACGGATTGTATATTGGAGGTTTAGAATACCTCCTAAAACCCCTCTCCCCCTTTTTAGGGGGGAAAAATTACTTTTTTTATCCTCACCTGAGGGTATTTTTCCACCCCCTGAAAATTTTCAGGGGGCAGTGCCTCAGTGGTGCCTAAACCGCCTAGGCGGGCGCCTAGAAGCAAAACGCCTTATGCACCTGCCCAGATTGTGCCTAGGCGTTTTGACAATTTGTCCGCCTAGGTGGTCAGGCGGCCGAATTTTTGAACTATGGCCGCAACACTAAGACGTATACCCAAATATATACATTAGTTGTAACCCTTGACGTTACCCTCCACATGTTGGCTTTTGGTCCTTTAAAGTCATGTAAGAGATTACAGAGTTAGTATTATGCAAACAGTCTTAACTGTGACGTAAAAAGGGTCTCACTCTTGTAACCAAGGCTGGAAATTGCCGTTTTAGACAACTGCAGTGAGTGTATGGCTCCACCAGTTTAAATGCAGGAAGACTTCACCTTTCTAAGATAACTGTGGCAAATTATCGTTTGTCTTAGTTAATCGTAGTAGATCTTCATTCTTCACGATTTCCGAGACAAAGTACAAAGAACTCGTTGTCCCACTGACGAGGAATGGGATTCTAATAAACCGTGGACGAAACAGGAGTGAATGGTTTCATTGAGTACTCATAATTAACAGTGGCAGATGATCTCTACTCTCCAGAAACTTCTTGAATCTGTTGAAGATCCTCGGGACTGAGGCTCTAGGATGTTTCGGTAGATTGAGAAACCACAATCTGCTATTATGCTTCAAGTCTTAACCTAGTTAAAGTAGAAGCGATGATCCTCGGGATTGATGCTCTAGGACTTTTCGGTAGAATGAGAAGCGACAGTTTGATGTCTATAGTTCAAGTGATAACCAAGTTAGAGTTTTTGAGCCTCAGCAGGAACTCTACTCTCTAGTCTGTACAATAGAAATCCACAGAAAAAAATTCCCAGCTTCGAAACTCATTTAGTTGTTGTGCAATTGACCTAGAGTCATGGGATGCTCCCACTATCTTCGAATTATTAGATGACTTTGACTCAAAATCCCTCTATGACACAATTGAATTTAGGATGAATATATCCCCATGATAAAATTGGGCCAAGTGAAACACTCATTAAAGGATTTTGAGAGTTGCTCTCTCTTGGCACCTTTCTAGGACTATAGAGCCAAGAGCGCTTTGCAATTTTGTTGTTGATTACCAGTTTCTTGAAATCATAGACAAACACATTCCACTAAAAATCATTGAGAAACTTCATTTTTTCAATTGATTGTGGCGAATATTGTCAAGAACAAAATCTCACCTCTGTGAGCAAATTTTCATTAAGTTTCTAATTGAAAACGAGGTTTGTATAGATTTGAAATCATTGATCATATATTGCAGCAACCAAGGTTTTAAAAATTGCCTATCCGGATCGGGAATCGTTGAAGCCGGTCCAGTTCCCACCATATATCGTAAACCGGCCGTGTCCCTCGTTGAATTGGCTTGATCTCTGATAGAACCGGCTGGTTCTGCTAGAAACCAGCTGAGTCTGTCAGACGAGAAGTGGTTGCTTATGTCAGAAACCAGTCGAATATGTCGGACCAGAACCTGCCAGTTCTGTTTCGAACTGGTTTGAACGAGGAAACTTGAGTAAGTGCATTTTTGAAATTTGTTTAAGTGTACTTTTGAATTATTTTTAAAACGAGGGGCAATAGCCCACACCGTTACTTTTTATCTCAAAAAAAGCCATCACTTTCACTTGGGCCCTACCAACCAGTCGTACACCACATGCGTTTATGAGACTGCATTTGCTCTAGACACCCTATGTGCAATGTGTGAGGCTTTTTTACATGCTTTTGCTTCATTCGATCTTCGATGTGAGACAAATTAGTCTCGTTTCTACATTGCATGAAAGAAACTTTGGGGCCGATAAATTTGACGTACTAAAACTTTCTCTCTCTCTCTCTCTCTCTCTCTTCCTCCCCCCTCCACACCTTGGCATCTCTCTCTCTCTCTCTATATATTCTAACAGCTTCTTCGATTGAATTTGTTCCATATAGCTTCTTTAAAAAATCAAAACTCCTAAGTCAATACAAAAATTTAAAAAATTAAAATGAATTAGAGAGATTCATTTGATTTTTCTGTTGCATTTTAAACTTTATTTTGACTAGAAAATGAATCTAACAGACAACCAATACTCAACATGAGACATGTTCCTAGTATTTACATGTTTTTGATGCACATAACGAAAAACTATAATAAAATTGCCACTATTTCTTTTAGAAACCTAAAAAAATAGTTTTTTGAGAAATTACATTGACTTTTTGAATTTTTTTGAGGCTAAGACTGGCCAAACAACCGATTCTCTGATCTAGATCGCCGATCTACCAATCTGACACGGTTTATGGGGTGGCTGATCTGGGTCACCTATCCTTTTTTTTAAACCTTGGTAGCCATAGTATAGCTGGTGGGAGTGGTGGAAAGGGTGACAACAAACCAAAACTACATAGTAGTTAGGGTAAGGTTTCCATAACCATGTCCAGTGATTGAGCGCCTTTGTCATTACCATGGCGGATAGCTGCTAGGGGCATTTTGGTTATTCTAACTGTTCCCAGTGATATTAATTGGCAAAATTTGAATTTAAACAATTCAAATTTGCCCTAACTCACTGAAAAACATAAATATTGATCAAAACATTCACTTGCGCATGTTAAATAGGAATCTTTGCTGTTTTGGCCTAAACACCCAAAACTAAGTTGGTTTGAAACATCAAATCTGGTTTTAAAACCATATGAAATTAACGACACAAATGGAGGAATACCGCTTGCTAAAACTTTTTCCTTGATATTCCCATCCTAATTTCTTACCTCCATTATTAACTTTCTAAATATGTCCAGTATCATGTATAAAACATCTTTGATGAAATTTTAAGGTCAGGTACTCTTTATGGCAGTACAAAACTCAACTTTCATGTCAAAAAGAAATAAAGGTATATTATAAATAAATTCCTCCCCAACCCCTTTATTTCAAAAAGCACCTCCCCATTGGGTCACTACTCCTCCTTAAACACTCACATAATCCCTTCTATACAAGTTGGTACGACTTCTTCCTATTTTCTCCTTGATTTTATCCTTCTCAAATCGCTTTATTCCTTCCAAGTCCTAACCCCTTTATTATGTATCTCTCTAATCCAAACACCTAATTTCTCTATCCTACCTCATTGCTTTCTCTCTCCTTTCTCTTCTTTCTGAAAACCTTTCTTTCTCCTTCATTTGGTCTCCTTAATAATGCATATGTTCTGCATGTATAATGGTTAGTGAGTTCAACAAACAACAAAATCGTGTGGCTTTGCCATTGAAATTGGGGCCATAAAGTTTAACATTGTCCAATAAATGGTGGGGGAGTGGGTCCCGCTCATAGTTGTTTGAAGTGGAAGCGTTTTAAGAATAAAAAATGGAGAACAATTAGAGGCTAGGAGCTTCCTATGGTAGGAAGTGCCATCCGTGCAATCCATATCTTCGGAATTGCACTTCCAACTACTTAGGACCATGCAAGAAATTATTAAGGAATGGGTTCCCTATGGAAAAATGTTAGAGGTTCTAGAGAATCCTTAACCAATAATCCCTTAGTATTGAAATTGATGTATTGAGTAAGTTTAGCCAGGGTTTTCCCTATTACTGGAATCGATGCCCTCAACTACCCTAAACAATCAAAATCCCTATGTCAACTTAGTGAGAGATATGTATGAAGGAGCACTAACTAGTGTGCGAATGACTAATGGAGAGACAAGCGAGTTTTCAGTGAAAATATGTCTACATCACGGGTTATTGTTGGGCCCATACCTCTTTGTCTTGGTTATGGACGACTTAGTTAGGCACCTACAAGATGAGGTACCATGGTGTATGTTTTTTGCGGACGACATGATTTTGATCGATGAGAATCGAAGCAACGTCAACATAAAAACTTTGGATGGATGCTCTAGAATCTAAAGGTTTTAAAATTGGTCGGACTAAGACAAAGTATATGGAATACAAGTGTAGTAATAATAGGAGTAGAGATGAGAAAGTAGTTAAGATTGATAGTCAAGAAATATAAAAACTATCGCAATTTCGATATTTTGGTTATATAGCTAAGTAAAATGGAGAGATTGAGGAAGATGTCGCATATAGAATTAGAGTTGGGTGGGCGAGTTGGAGAAGTGCAATCAGAGTTTTATGTGACTGTCGCATACCAATGAAGCTGAAGGGGAAGTTCTATAGAACAACTGTGAGACCCGCTTTGCTTTATGGGGTGGAATGTTGGGCGGTCAAGAAACAATATACCCATAGGCTGAATGTAGCTGAGATGGATGAGTGGCAAGACAAGAAGGGATAGAATTCGAAATAAATACATTCGGGAGAATTTAGGTGTGGCTCTAATAGCTGATAAGATGCGAGAAAATAAACCTAGGTGGGCTGGCCATGTGCAACGCAGACCCAATACAACTACTGTTAAGAGGTGTGAGTTGATTCAAGTGGAAGGCTAAAAAAGGGCGAGGGGTTAGCCCCAAAAAGACATGGTTGGAAGTAGTGAGAAGAAATATAGCAACTTATGGCCTCACTGAGGGTATGACCCTTGATAGAACAGAATGGCGGACAAGGATTTGTGTAGCCGACCGCAAATAGTTGGGAAAAGGCTATAATGATGAAGATGATGATGATAAGGAATTGTATCTAGTAGTATTATATATATATTACCAAAACAGTAAACTAATCATTTAGTCTAATACACACAATATACGTACTGCAATACACAATACAATATTGCAACACTCAAAGTCACATGTTCAGCCTCTAATTGACATAGCACACACATACATGTGCATCAATTTTGAGCTTCTAGACTTATAGTCTCTAAATTAAACCATAAAATGCACGACTAATGGAATTAATCAATAAACAATAAACAAAGAAAGCTAATCTTTGTGTGGGGGTGGTTTGTTTTGTGGTGGGGAAGGGAGTGGGAGAGGGTGAGGGGAAGCGGAAGGGGGGATGTGTTGGGGGTGGGAGGGAGGGCAGGAGACTAGAGTTAAACATAAAGAGTTGAAATCCATTCAGTTGGATCGATTTATAGAAACCAATTTGATCTATTCCATGGCTCAATTCACCGAAGCCACTGAGGGAGGGAGTGAGGGAGACCTAGAAAGGAACCTGTGAGCTCAAGGTCTTAAAGTCAAACATAAGGAATTGAAATCCATTGTGTTGGATGGATTCCATGGCTTAGTTCACCAGAGCGATTGCGATCTATTCCATGGCTCAGTTCACCTGAAATTTGAAAGTTGAATGGATTTCAGCGTATAATTCTCTAGCGCAATTTCCTAGATGAAGGTTTGGATGGATTTCAGACTATGGAATCTATTGAACATTATTTCATGACTATAGTCACCAGGAGCTGAATATTTTGATCGATTTTTCCTTACAAAGACCATTGAGCACTACTCCATGGCTCAATGCACTGGGAATTGATTTGAGCCATGGAATCGTTTTCCCCTAAATTAGCGTGCACACTCTGTATGTGCGTGCCTGCATGTGTGAGACTATTGGGGCAACATGGCTCCTCATATAAGTAAAAGAACAGAAAATTTATTACTGTAAGGAACAATTTGTGAACTATCCTAATGGAAAACCCTAATGAGGATAGGAGGAACAAAGTGGATAAAATTTTCCTATACTATCCTAATATAAATAGTAAATTTTTAAACCACGAACTTTTGACTTTTCTAAGTCAAGGTGATTCCAATAGTTAGTCTCTTTGTCAAATTTTGATTCAGTGGTTTGACCCGAAGTGGTTAAATCTAGCTCAAATTTATGCCTTGATGGCAAAGTAGTATTTTTGTTTTGTGTGAGTTCGATCGTTTCTATCGACAATTTCTTCTTTGTGCGGTGGGAGAAATGGTCGGGACACCATCTGGGACAGCGTTTCGATTATGAGTTGGTCTCACCAAATGATTTCAGTTTAGATATTTAATTTGGGACACATACATGTCGGATTATGCTTCTTATATCTCATTGCTCAAATATACAACATATAATTTGGTGTGGTTGTTGGATATTTATTGCTTGTTTACACTTGGAAAAGATTTAATTTTTTCCGTTTGAATATGAAATGCGTGCTACATTGCTTCAACCAATTCATTCTATTGTTTGGGGAAAGATCAATTAGGTTAGTGATTGCATGGGGCTCCCGTCTCATGCAACACCGAAGCAGCTGAGCCTCCCATCAAAATCCATCTTTTTTATGGGTTGAGGACTAAAACTCATTTGAAACCCCTTCAGGATCTAAATCCATCTTTTTTACAGAATCTTGATCTTGGCTGTCAAGGGGTTGGATTTGCAGATCCTCAATCATCCAAAATATGAAGAAATGAGGGGGAGCTAAAATATTTAGGCTGAGGCCATGCCTCATCAATAACTCTTCCCAATTGGAGAGGTCCAGATGTGGGCTCCTCAACGGGCACCAAAGACCTCCTGTTGGGACCATTGGCATTGAGCTTGCTCCTAGCTGCACTTCAATAATTTGTAGCACTGAGATCTGCTATTTATTACTCTTGTGGCATCGATCACCTCATGATTTATTGTTGCACAGTGTAAGAATTTAAATAAAAAATCTGCAGGTATTTCATTTATTATTGTAATTATCATTTGTGTGTAGAATTTAAATAAAAAATCTTTTGTGTGTATAGAATTATTGTTGGGTGGAGGAAAGAGTGAAGTTATAATTATCATGGTCCTTTCTGCTTATTTAGAGTTAAGATGGTCCTTTGTGCTTATTGACTGTATTTATGTAATGAAGTTTGGGTCAGCACGTGGTGAACTTCCACATATAATTGGCAGTGAGGAATTTATGCATGACAACACTTGTGGGCTAACGGGTAAGTATGCCTTCCTTTAGTTGTGAACATTACATTTATAAGTATTCATGTATTAATGTCTGTTTCCATGCACCATATACACATACCTTGTATATGTGTGTGCACTTGCGTGTGCACTTGTGCATGCATCTGTGGTCAACATAGGTTCCTGTAGAATGTAACATACATTGCATATTATCCAATAATTTAATTACAGAGGATTTGATATTGGAGACCACCACACTTGGTTTCAGCCATAAATCAAGTCCAGAGCAATTACGTTTGGGTGCTGGGGCTGGTGTTCAAGCCATGCTCAATCCTGGCTTTTTCGGAATTGATCAAGATGCAACTGACAAGGCAAGTTAATGGGTAATGACCCATACTTTATGTTATTTACTCTGATGTAGAATTAAGTTTTTGAAATGTTTACCATTTCTATTTGAACTCTGTAAGAACTTTTTACTTAATTACATGCTATCGGTTCGCTAGCGATGTTGCCTTTCTGTTTAAGATGGTTGTAAATTCATGTGCAAATAGTGTCAGCTGACGGTGCAGGCAGATATGGTGGATGCGGAACTATGATTTTGATTCAGGCATTCGTGCATTCCATTCACAGGGAATATTTGTAATTCTGTGGGTGGTTGGAATGATTCTGATGTTTTGTTGTGCCATGAAACTTTGCATGCTTAACTAACTTCCATGATCTTTTGATACTTTAATTGGGTTAATAACATTCTGAGAGCTCGTAATGATAAATCAATGGCAAGTAAAATGTCAAAGACTATCGTTCTTGCTTATGCATGTGTGCTATCTAAGTTAGTAAAATTTGTTATGTATCTGTCAAGGATCCTGTGTTTTATATGTAATTTTGTGAGTGGTTGGAATGATTCTGATGTTTTGTTGTGCAATGAAACTTTGCATGCTTAACTAACTTCCATGATCTCATGATACTTTAATTTGGGTTAGTAACTTTCTGAGAGCTTGTAGTGATAAATCGATGGCAAGTAAAATGTGAAAGACTGTCGTTCTTGCTTATGCATGTGAGCTATTAAATTTAGGAAAGTCTTATAAGACATTATTTTGGGGCTTATATTGAAAATAATTGGATTTTGTTGCTTGCATAATCTGAAATTTTCTTATTTGAAGTCATCACTTGCTAATGGTTGAAGTTTTACCCATTTAATATAGGGTTCCTTTTGCTTTCTTGCATAAGTTTGGTCCTTAAGTGATGGTTTACTTTCTAACATCTATTGTCCTAGACAGGATGTCTCTGAACCCTTGGTCTCTGCTCCGTTAGATTTCAAAGCAATGCTTGAGGCGGCATTAATCAGTCCTTATAGAATATGTATGTTTCATCCTATTTTCCTTCTATATCAGGAGATTGAAGTTATATGCTGCAAAACATTAATAAAAAGCTATAGCCTGTCAGAAATATAATTTACTTTCTCACAAAGTTGAGATTTAGAAATGTGAATATTAACCACCATATTGTAGATATTATAAGGAACATGTTCATTATATTCTCCCTCTTTGTAACTGTATCATGCCATGTACTTCTTGTCTCACTTCTTAATCTGACTGTAGAGGTTGACCCTTTAAAGTTTAAAGAAAATAACCATCAGAATTTTTTCATTTTCATGATTGTTTGGCATTTTTCTGGTGCTTCTTTCATTGCTTGCATTTCAGAGTTTTGTTTCTCCAATTGCTTGTAGAATATCTTTTGTAGGGCAATTGTTCCGTTGACAATCTATGTTGCTCTTCTAACGTAAATTGTAGTGGCTCGTTACTGACATGCCCTGCTATCTTCATGTCTATTCTTTTATTTGATCTATCATGTGTCAATTATTCAGGAGTATTATGTTTGGATGTTCTTGCAAATTAAACTCTAGTTTGTTGATCTCTTTGTTTTATGTAGATCTTCTGTTTTCCATTCATTTAATAGCTTCAATTGCCAGGCACTACTACTTTTATCCCCTAATATAAGTAATTTATTGTGTCACTTTACACACCCTGCTATGTCATTGTCCATTCTTTTAATTGATATGAGTTTTATAAGTTTCCAACCAAATGTTTAGGAACTTGATTAGATACACATTTCTCCCTATGATTGCATAAACATTCCCTTTAAACTCATAGATTCATCGAAGCATGGGTCTGGCTTGGGTTTAAGGCTGGTCTAGTTGGCTTTCACACCAATGAAATCTTTGACTGCATCATCAACACCTCGTCGAGCAGCATGCCTAATGCACTTCGGTACAGTTTTGTATTGTTGTCCACAAAGCGTAGCATGTAAACTCTAACAATACTGTTTTCTTGTGCAGCTTTGTTATGTAAGTGTATTTATTTGTGGTATTCATATGGCTACTTTGAGCGCGGTGGCTGTGAGCCAGCCAAGTCGGCAAAGTTGTTATCTGGGTCCGACCCGCTGTCCTGAGACAAATTTGACATCACTTGTGTGATTGCATTCCTCCTACTTGGCATTACTCATGTGATTGCACTCCTTCATGATGAGGTCTTTTGCCTCCTCCTCTTCTATTTTGTGAGAATGACGCCGTCTTATAGAGGCCAGGGTCAGTGAGAGAAATGCAAGGGTGGAAGGCATCACTACCCACCTTGACATTGGCATTCTTTCTTAGTATTTTTTCCCGTGTTCTCGTTTTTCTTGGTCTTTCCCTTCTCTTTTTTCTTGGTCTTTGCCTTTTATGTAATTATTTATCTATGAGTGAGAGAGTGTGGTTTGGTAGATAGCAAGAACTAATTGTTTTCTAGGGATTCATTAATTCTTTCTCCTTGATCTTTATCATATCTTTCTCCTTGATTTCTGCTCTTACCTTCTTTTAGGGTTTCAAGCATGAGCAATAAGAGCAATGATTTGCATGGTTTTTAGGGGTTACGAGAGATGTATTACCATCGAATAAGGATTTTATTTCTAGTTCATTCAAAAGCAGTGACCTGGACACTTCATGTTTTCTTTAGTATCACGTGTCCACACTTAGAAACATGTTGACATGCACAGACGCAATTGACACTTGTCCGTGCATGTCTGATGATGTCATCAGTTTATGAGTACATATCTACACTTTAAATACATGTTTGGCTTTTTCTCAACATACGTGCTTAAGGGTTGATGTGGTAGCGTGACTCTTTGACCATGTAGGGATGAGTTTTCAATTCTTACCAATGAGTATCATTTTATTTGAGCCTTTTCTTTTACTTTATTTGGGCTTTCTCTTTTGAAAACAAAAAATAGTACCATTTCAAGTTGATCGAGGCAGAGATTGAACCCAGGACGGCTTGGGTAGGAAGCCAACATGCTGCCACTGTGCCTCTTTGGTGGTCATGCATGACATTGGCATTCTTTATGTATACAACCATTTAGATTGCAGAAGGAAATGAGAAAAATTGTGGGGCTTTAGATTGCAAAAGGAAATAAGACGAAAACAATGGGGTTGGAACACAGGATCACTAACTGTATCACCACGACATTGAGGTTTAACTGCAAGAATACTGAAACATATATTATATAAACTTGTTTAGAGTACTAGTAGTACAGACGTGTCATGAAGTATTGGCATTTTAGTCTCACATTCTAGATACTATAACACATACTAGATACTGACACGGGTGTCGGTATCCATGTAACACTGTTCAAAAGGCAATTGTTACAGTCTACTATCCAAATAGGAAAATCTAGTTAGTCAAACCTGAATAAAATTTGATACTATAATGGGCCAGCTGCAATTATTTGTGGTTGAATTTGGAATGTGAACTTTTTGGTTTGCCTATGTCATTTTACTAATGATGTGATGCAATGATGCTCGAGTGCTTGACCCTTCTACCCAGTATAGCCTCTGGTCATTTATATATGCTGCACAGTGCAAATTCTAACAGCAATCTGGAGGCATTTGAGTTGGTCTTCAGGTTGTATGATGCTTCCAAATTTGAGTCCTTCTAGACAATTCAAAAGTCTTCAGGTTTATGATGCTTCCTAAATTTGTGTCCTAGTCAATTCGAAAAGATTACTCTCGTGGGCCACCTATGTCAGGCAGGATGTAGCTTGTGGCATTGGTGGCTTGGATGGTGCAACTTTGTATGGAGAGTCCTGATTCATAGCAGGGGATCATCTGGGATGGTGCCGTAATGGTGATGTTTGTTTGGAGAGGGGCCTGTGGGCAATTTTTTGGTAGTTCTGGAATACTGCAGTTCCTTCACCAACAATAAAATGAACATTGTCGCATATATCACCTGTTGGTGGAAGTGGATATTTGTGTCAGCATGGAGCTATGGTTTGTTACCATTTGATGGCGTAGCAACAGAAAACTGACTGATCAAGGTTTACCCTAAGGACGACTACTTGTTTCAACAGTGTTTTTGAAGGCTATATCCCTTGAAATAAAGCCTAAAAGAGAAAAGTTAGGTCTCCTAAAGAAAAAAATGTGAAAAAATGAGAAATGACAAAAACAAAATGTGGATAGGAAGTACAGGAGAGCTAATTATGTGTTTGGGGGGATGCACTCTCCATCATTGACCGACCCATTGAATTGATTGTAATGACTTTTGTACTACAATTCCATGCTATTAGCATGATCACATGGATCATATATATTTCCCCTTAAATTTCTTGCAATTTGTCTTTTTTTTTTTCATTAGCCTAGAATATCAAGGTCTTGACATAACTGTTGCTATTGAAAACAAATTTTTTTTTTTTGGAATTTTTGAGTATCAAAGATGCCCATGACCAATTTTGACTAGTTTATAATATGGTGATGAACACATGTAATCATGTGACGGCTTCTGTCCTCATCTTCAATTGGAGAGTCCTCTTCTTTTCCTTTAAAAGTTTAAAACTACAGAGCGATCTGCGCAATCAAGATTGGTATACAACAACCTTTTTTGCCCTCATAGCAATATTTTAGCTAATTGCTGACAAAAGCATTCTTGTAAACCTTTTATCTTTTGCAAGGCTTATATCCTTCAAGAAAGTAACTGGCCTCCAAGTGGATTAACTCGTGACCCTCATTGTAAATTTCATTAAGTTAGCTTTTTATCGATGTACCTTTAAAGGCTACCAAGGTCTTCCGTTCTTGTTCTAACAACCAGTTCTATCATGAATGTGATACACATTACACAATCAATTCCATTTTTGGTGACAGCACTGTCTTTATCAAGAATTATTAGATTTTTGCCTTGGACTCTCTGTGAATAGAAGATCACCATCACTATGTGACTCCTCATGAGCTTCGATTACAGTTTAGGATTTTGCATGAAGAATTCTACCATTCAAGCCACCAGTGGTACATGTTTGGTCTTGAGTTCTTGACTTACTTGTGATTTGGAAGTACTCTTGTCAGATTGTCTGCATGGAGTGATATTTTGGGAGCCTCATATGAGCTGAAGGGCTAGACTGGGAGGACAGGTCAAGTAACCAAGATGTCTCATCATTGACAGGGTCAGGGCGAATTTTATCAACATAAGACTTGTGGTTGTTGCTTGTTCATTCTTGAATTCTATCTCGACTTGACCAACTAGATTTCATATCTGAACAATTTAATGTTTTCTCTTACTTTGGTTGAGAAGTTTTCCAAAAGTTTATAAGGCGACTTTAATTGTTTTAGATATTCACTCATAAAAAACAGGATCATCAGGTTGTGACTATTTTCTTTAAAGAATTTATTTAGGTGATTGTTTTGGACAATAGATCGATTTGGACAAGAATAGCATGGGTGATGCTATTGTTGATTTTGCTGTGTCTTGTGACCTAGCAATGGCAAACACCTACTTTAAAATATGAGACGAGCATTTAATGCAAAAGTGGGACATATAAAAGCCAGATAGACTGCTTTCTAGTTAAGAATGTAGATCGACCATCATGTAAGAACTATAAGGTTAACCTAGGAGAGAGTCTGGCCACAAAATATAGGCTCATGGTGAAATGAATAGGTGTCGAGGAGCTAGGTGGTGGAATTTAAAAGGAGAAAATAGACTTATTTAGGAATAAATTGATAAAAGAAGGAAAAGGGAATTGTAGTTTATGTTATATGGAATGAGATGACTGATTGTATTAAGAAGTGGCAAAATAAGTTTTAGAAGAATCTAGAGGGAAAAGACATTCAAATAAGGAAACTTGGTGGTGGAGTGATGAGGTTCAAAAGGCTATTAACGAAAAACGATCATGTTACAATACTTGACAATAGAATAGAAATGATCACAACAGAAGAATATTAATATGCGAAGAAGAACGCTAAGAAAATAGTAAGTTAAGCTAAACTTAAGGCGTATGATAGTCTATGCAATAAATTAGTAACAAGAGAAGGTGAAAAAGATGTCTTCAAACTAGCAAAAATGAGAGAGAGGAAGTGTAGGGATCTAGATCATATTAAATGCATTAAGGCTGATGATCAGATGGTCTTGGTGTAAGATGACAAAGTCAATGAAACTTGGAGAATTTATTTTCAAAAATTTCTAAATGACAACCATTGTGAGAGCACACCATTAGGAGGTACCTTTGCCATAAATGAGGTCGGAGGTCATAAATACATTCATAGGATTAGGATATCTGAAGTGAAAGAAGCTTTGAGAAAGGTGAAGATAGAAAAGGCTTTAGGACCAGATGGTATCCTGATAGAGGTTTGGAAGTGCAAATGGGAGAGATTGCCATATTTTGGCTTACCAAGTTGTTCAATAAGATGTTGAGAACAAAGAAAATGCTAGACAAATAGAGAAAAAGTATCGTGGTACCTATTACAAGAATAAAGGAGTCACAGAATTGGCGAAAGTGATTGAGCAATAACTAAGACATGAAACAAGTGTATTAGAAAATCAGTTCGGTTTTATACTAGGGGGGTCAATAGTTGAGGCCTTTTCTGTATTTAGGCAATTGATGGAGAAATTCAGGCAGAAGAAAAAAGATCTCCACATGGTCTTTATTGATTTAAAGAAAGCATATGATAGGGCACCTAGAGAGTTAATTCGTTAGGTGTTGGAAAAGAAAGGATTGTCTAGAGGATATATTGCAATAATAAGAGATATGTATGAGGGAGTGCTAAGTTGTGTGAGGATAGCTAGTAGAGGAACAACTTTTGCTAACTAGTGTGAGGACAACTAGTGGAGAGGCAAATGTATTTTTAGTGACAATAAGCTAATATCAGGGGTCAGTGTTGAGCCCATATCTTTTTTGTTATGACGAGTTAACTAGGTACCTACATGATGAGGTACTGCGGCATATGTTGTTTGCGAATGACATAACTTTGATTGATGAGATTAGAGACGGTGTCAATGCGAAATTAGAACTTTGGAGGGATGCTCTAGAATCAAAAGGTTTTAGAATTAGCCGGACTAAGACATAATATATTGAATGCGAGTTAAGTAATAATAAAAGTAGGAAGAAGGAATTAGTTAAGATTTTTGTTTTTTTTTGGGTAATTCAGTGGGGATGACGAGTTCCTACCCATTTTTTGAAATTGTTAATGGTTTTTGCATGCGCTAGGTGAGAATGGAAGCCTAGACCTTAGCTGGGGCACAAGTGGTGCTACCACTGCAACCCCAACCCCATTCTCAAGAATTAGTTAAGATTGATGGCCAAAAAGTACCTAAAAGAGTTTATTTCAATATCTTGGGTTGATAATCCATGAGAATGTGGAGATTGAGAAAGATGTCACACATAGAATTAGAGCTGGGTGGACGTAGTGGAGATGTGCTTCTGGTGCTTTATGTGATTGTCGCATACCAATGAAACTGAAGGGTAAGTTCTAGAGGATGGCTGTAAGACCAGCCATACTTTATGGGACGGAATGTTGGGCAGTCAAAAAAGAACATATTCATAGAATGAGCGTAGCTGAGATGAGGATGGAGATGGATGGGTGGCAAGACAGGAAAGGACAAAATTTGGAATGGATACATTCGAGGGAAGTTAGGGTTGGCTCCAATAGGCAAGATAAGGGAAAATAGACTTAGGTGGTTTGGCCATGTGCATCGTCAACCTAGAAAAACACCGGCTAGGAGGCGTTATTTGGGTAAAGTGAAAGGATCTAAAAGGGTAAGGGAAAGACTCAAAAGGACATGGATGGAAGTAGTAAGGAGAGAGATGGTGACCTATAGTATGACTCAGAGTATGGCCCTTGAGAGAGTGGAAGAGCGGAACAAGATTCATGTAGACGACCCCAAATAGTTGTGATAAGGCTCATACGATGATGATTGAAATTGGTCTGAATGGTTTTACATTGGAATAGGATTAAATTCTATTGTATTAAAATATTGTCCCTTCCTCATTGAAAAACCTACAAAGTTGTCACTGCTCATTCTTCCATCCCTGAAATTAGGCTTAGAGTCAAATCTCTCCTCTCTCTCGCTCCAACTTTGAGTTGGGTCATCAAAAGGATGGACACATGGTGATGGAGAGAAAGTTGATCAGCAACAACATGATATGCCTACACGGTAAGTCTACTCTCTCTCCATAACTCTCCATCCATATCTAGGGTAATGATATAATTACCATATGCAGCTTGCTTTTGCTCTGTATATTTTCTATATAGAAATATGGATGTTTCTACTTGATTTTGTTTTTATTTTATTTTTGATTGGTGAATATATAGGTCATTGATGTAAAGATTTTCAAAGTAAATTCTGTGTATGTATATGGAAAAAATAAAGGAGGTAGGTTTACAAGAAAGAAGGGGTCCAAAATGGGTTTAAAGGGGAGAAAAGTTCTGGGTGACCAAAATCAAAGGCGCCTTCCTGTCTTTGCTAAAGATTCTACTAAAATAAGCTTCCCTCCAATATGCTTGAAGGATACCTCCAACTTTGAGAACAATTAAAAAAGTTACAAGCTTTTATAAGAGAAACTAGTTATTTTGGGTCTTCCTTGTTAGCCTTGAAAGCTTTGGAAGTGCATGACCTCATATTGAGTATAGCCTGTTAAATGCCTGTTTAAAGATGTATACACATCTCTTTTATATTTCAAGCTGCCTAGCTGTTCTTGTTGTATCTTACTTGAATACTGACTTGGATATGATTTTTAAAAATATTCTTTAAATGTCCTCTTGTGATTTCATTTTATTTCCTTTGGGACTGTGTTCACATACTTTCCTTCTGCATGCTGTCTTTATTTGTGTGTATTTCTTCTGTTAACTGTTTTGGTGCCCTTGAGTAGTTTCTGATTTTGGTATTTTATAACATTGTTACAGTCAAGTGCACCACCTGTGAACTGAGTTTTCTACTTCATTTTTATGGCTGTAGTTTTCAGTTTGAAGTTGCGTACTTTTTCTCTATGTTTACTACAGTTAAATGCACGACCTTTGTTTGATTGAGCTTACTTGCTTTATGCTGCTTAATTTATTAAATTGAACACTATTTTTTTTCTTATAGTTGCTATGTGGATTTATTGTGGCATGCAGATGATGAGGACAGTTCATCACAGCCCAGTGTTGGTGGTGACCATTATTATAACCCTGAGCTGATGCATGAGAAGGTGGTTGGTTTCCTTTTATCTTTGTAAAGGGATATTATTTATTCCGTTAGGTATCCCCAAACAACAAATTTTTTTCCCAGATCCATCAATTCATACTAGTTTTGCTTCTGGAGAAAATTGACTTATTTCAAGGTTTATATAGACGCATATGTTAATGCAAGTTCCACTGCAGCACATTCCTAAGCCTTCTGTGTTTCTCTTTATGATAAATAAGCTGTGGACTACTGCAACTGTATATCTGGTTCATGTTGACTCGTTGAGATGGAGATCTCGTTAATGTATTAAATGTTTCTATATAATCTTGCTTGGTTTCTTCTTTCAAATTGGAAGCAAAAAGGATGTCTTTTCGAATCTGTTAGTGTAAAAAATGCTGACAAACTAATTATCTGTAAATCTTTAATGATGACTGCATGAATGTTTTCTCTAGGTCAGCTTATAAATTCGAGGTTTTGTTTCATATCATGAACCTTAAATTTTGGAGGAGTGCAACAATCCAAAGCATTGATACTTGATCTTCTGTACTTGATTATGATTGATTGCTTCTCAAAAGCCACTAGTTGGCTATTTTTTAGTGGTTGTTAATGGAGCAGAACAGTCATACTTTCAAGGCACTAGGGCAGGGAAGATGGTCGGTGACATGGAGATGAGTACCATTTCATAGGCTTATGCTTATGTTCAGGAGGAATTTAAGCTTAAGTTCAGGAGGAATTTAGGGATGGTGTGGTGGAGGATATTGCGTAGGAATGGAGAACTCTGACTTATTTGGAAGCTCCATAGTGTGTCTTGGAATGCAGGGCATAATTAGCCAATCTGCATATTAGATGCATTTTGTTCAAAAGAGTGGAATTTGTTTTTCGAAAACTGTTAAGAATTTCATAATTTTGAAAATATCATCAAATTATTGCATTTTTTGGCAAGAACTTATTAAATGTGATTTGTATGTTTTGTTCAAAATATCTTGCTAGAGAACAGTTCTCATTTATATTTATCACACCAGTTTGAATTTTTTGAGTAACAATCTTCACTTGGATTTGAGTCCTTGATTTCTGCTAAATATATACATTTACTAACAAATTAGATTTGCTTAAAGATTCATTAAGATACTGTAACGAAAATTATTGTAGAGATAACTCATTGAGGATCAATGTACTGTAGGTTTTAAATTTTCTAAACGCGAAAGCAATTGATGGATTTAAGTTGCAGTCGCCAGGAGTTTTTATTCTGCCAAATTTGTATTTTGTAGGCAGTTTTGGACTTGACTTTCATTAGACTTACAAAAACAGACGAGATAAACTCAGGCACTATAAAAAATTGTAGATTTACTGAAAAAGAAGATTAGCAGTTGGAGGTCCTGTTTGTAAAGATAAAACCTACATAAAACAGTCTGCTAATATATTAGGAAATTGATTGCCACAATAAATAATTACATAAATATTAAATGTAACCAATAAAAATGGGCATACCATTTCCCCATAAAAATATTTGCAACTATTTAACGAGAAAAATTGGACTTTTGGTGTTCCTCTTCAAGCAGCTATACACATTTCTACCCTACAAATAGGTTAACTCCTGTATATGGTGAATCACATAATTAAGTTTATCCACACAAAAATTAGGTTTTCAGAAACTATACTTTCATCAGAAGTTGATGTTTTAATTTCTTCTAGCTGAAATTTTATATGACATGCACATACGTGTACGTCTGATTGTTTTTTACTCCTGTTTTTAGCGTAACAAAACTATTTCAGATTTTTAAATTTTGGTCTTCTTGGTCCCTTTTTCTGGTTCGAAACTATACTAATCCATCTTTTGCTATCACTATTTATTGTTGTTAACCATATTGCTAACTATTGTTCAAAGTACACCTACACCTAGTGTTTTAAAGCTCAATTTCCATGGTCGTTTTGGGAATTGTGTCCTACAGGTCTATGGGGCGATGGAGGGGGGTGGGGGTTCTAGAACCATTGATGTAGAGTCTGGTATCTATGCCTTAGCACGGTATGAAGTGGAGTTATTCCAACATCTAGGAAGATCTTAAGTTGTATGGCTTTTCAGTTGTCATTTGCAGTGTTCTAAAAAATGCTCGGTGGAGTATTAGATACATGGATCTATAAATTTGTATTTTTTTTTTAGCAAATCTTGAATTATTTTTTAATCATAAGATATAAGAAACACTATATATTGAAAGTAAATGTTGATTCGCTCAAGCAGTCAACAAATGTAAACCATGTTAACAAGGAAACTTATGAAATGAACTAGATGGCCATATGGATCAGTCCGAAACGAAGAAAGATGAAAATGAAATCAAATTGAGTCTGCATCATCTCCTTTGTCGTCGAGTGAGCTATATCTCAAGCTAAATATGTGGATGGTTATCTTTTGTAAGTTGGGTGCACTGCTCCTACTTAGGCTCTACCATTAAGCTGCATTGTCTAAAATTAGAAATCTTAAATGTACTATTAACCTGTAAATAGATTAATGTATTGAATAATGAATCTATAAACGTTAATCAAGATCTTTACCTGGAGAGTGTAGTATTTGTAGTCAGGATTACAATCTATTCCATTGGTGTATGCTTCTTTTGATTTTTCAGATAAGGGAGGAGTGTAATCCTTTACAAAAGCATATTACAACACAATTATAACAGCATAGACTGATACCACCACTTGAAACGGTTTACAACATAAAAGAAGAATCAAAATACCTCTAGGTAGTCCCCACGCAATTTCCATTCAATGCCATAAGGGAATATTTCATAAAACAATTTCTCAAAAAAAAGAAAATTGCATAAAACAACACAAGGTACATGAATACAAAAATTCAGTAACATACAATTTTACAATGATATCGATCACTTCGAAATTACATCAATTAGAACCTAAAGCAATCTTCCGCTTTTACATGACTGAAGCATACATGTCTAGTAAAGCATTAAACCATGGGGAAGCCAAAGTTGCAACCCGTTGCCGAGATCACCTCCCGGACTTAATACATCCCAAACTGGATCTCTGCCTTCGATAACGTGGGGGACCGGTCTCTCCTTTCTCCTCAATATTGGAAGCAACCCAAGAAAGAAATAATAACAATTTCTCTGTTCTGTTGGACAAAGTATATGCATAGATCATAGGAGAAGAGGTGGAAATGAAGGATCTAGCAATGGCTTGGGGTATATTGACTTACATGGCTTATACTATGCACATACTATGCATATAATACAAAGAGAGATGCAAGCATGACAGAGGCTTATGAATTTCACTCGAACCACATGGAGAGAATCAAATTACCTTGCTGTAATTGATGTCCAATCAGAGATTACAGCAAGGTATATGAAGGCAAAAGATGCTCTAATGGTGGCGTGGGGCATAGTAAACAATGGGGTACATAGTGGCATAATGCAAGTATTCAAACGAGAATGGTAAGGGCTTGTAAAATTGAACTTCAGATGATGTAAAGACCACCTTACCTTGTTGTAATTGATGAGGAATCAGTGATTTACACCAAGCTTGATGAAGCTTGACGCTTCACTAATGGTAGTGTAGAGCTTGTAATGCAGCTCAGAAAACTGCTATTGAGTGTCCAGTTAAGAGAGACAAGCTTAAAGTTTAAGAGGAGCAATAGAAGAGCAAAATATTCTTGGAATCTGTCCTTTTATGTCTTTTATTTGTTTTTTGAGTCATTTTATTCACTTAGGGGCATAAATAGAAATTCCTAGAATCTTTTATGTTTTTCTATTTACTTAAAATCTCTTATAATGAATGACCATGATCTGATTAGATGGATGACCATGATTTCTTCTTATATAAGGGATGTACTCAAGCATAATGAAGCATCTTGTTATGGACTTTATTTCGAAACCCTAGAGCTGCTAGTGCTCCTTCTTTTATCCTTGGTTTTTGCATCTTTCTGTAATTTTTGATCTTCCCTATCTTGTTCTTTGCTAAACTCTAGCTCCAAGCTATTAGGTTTGCGCCAGGTTGGTATTAGAGCTCGATGATCTGTACGGATGGTATTGTAACAATGTGTAGCACTGTACATACAATATTGTACAATTGATTTTGTTCCCTAGATCAACAACCATTCCTCTAGGCATAGGAAGAGGAGGAAAGTGGCAACCGTAGAAGCCTTTGATGCTAGTTCGTGAGAAGAGATTGCAGATCTGAGGAGATTGATCGAAACCCTAGCTCTGCGTTTGGTACAGATGGAAGCTCCGTCTCAGGAGGATGAGACTGATGCAGATGAGGAATCCATAAATCCCTTCCATAATCAAGCTTCAAGGAGGGAGGTAGCTGATGGATAAAAATGTTAGGAGGTGGGAAATGAGTCTCAAGGTTGAGATCCTAGAGTTTTATGGAGGCATAAAGGCCGACGTATTCATTGATTGGATGACTACAGTGCTGTGGATATGGAGTTTAAGGAGGTTCTTGAGAAAAAGAAAGTACTTTTAGTCGCCATAAAGCTGAGGGGAAGAGCTTCGGCCAGGTGGGAACAATGAAAGTGATGTGTACATGAAGAGGACTGCCCAAAATCACAAATTGGGAGATAAAGCATAAGATGGGCTTTTCTGCCATTCAGTTACTTGCAAACTCTGTATCAATGTCTAAATAATCTTCTACAAGGAAGTAGGTTGGTGGATGACTATACGGTGGGGTTTTATTAGCTGGTTTCGCACAATGAGCTTTATGAGGACAATGAGCAGCTTGTGGCATGATATATGGGAGGTCTTATGCAATATTATCAAAAGCAAAGGTTTACAGCTGTCGTGGGGCACCGTCTCTATCTGCTTGCTGTTGAGAAGCTCTCATTACCACGCATTAAATGTGGAAGATCCATTTAAAGAGATGCATTGTAAGTGACGTTTCATTAGAGTTGAACAACTATGTTTCATTGTGATTGGATTAAGATAGCAAACTATCTATTCATCATATCTTAAGAGAACTGTGTGTTTATATACATTGTTTTGTGCTCCTAGAGGAAGGAAAATTGTTTCAAAACTTCCCAAAGAGTTAATGGAAAGATTGGGCGAGGAGAAGGATTTGCTTGCAAATATATATGATAATATTAGCAGCTTTGGTGCAAAATATACTAAAGATTTGAATATTGTAATCATTGGGAAGCTTTGTCTGTCACACTGCATGATGTTTGCCTTTGGAGGTCTCTTTGGATAGAACAACAGCCCAACGTTAGGTCAAAACTGATCTGGCGTTACTTAAAGAAATCTGTGCAACATTATGGGTCTATTTGAGTCCGTGGAAAAAAATCATGGAATAGAGAGAGACCTTCCTTTGGGCGTCAGAAATTGTGAGAGAGAGAGAGAGAGAGAGAGAGAGAGAGAGAGAGAGAGAGAGAGATATAATAATAGTATTAACGAAACAAACGAAACAAACGAAGAACAAACTACTAACTAACGTAACGAACGAAGTAGACTAGTAGTAGTAGTACTAC